CCAGCTGTTTAGATGCTAAACCTCCTCCATCCATTAGCCCACAGTCAAGCAAGTCAACAAAAGCAGTGGTGAAATGTATTTACCTTGGACTAGTTCTGTTAAAGCAATCAATGCCTCCCTGCAAGCAGTGGAAGACTGAAGGTCAGCAAGAACACTCTTGTTAGAAGCCTCTTCCTTCTCCTTCCCTCTCTAGATGCTCAGAAGACAGATGAAGGAAACACAAACACAGCCTGGTGTAGGAGGCAAGGTGTCTTATCACAAAATGCCTCAAACCTTACTTCTGCAGATCCCACTAGAAATCAAGGGAAGCCTGCAGAGGCCTCCCAGGGTATGTGAGTTGCATTGTCATAGCTCAAAACAGTTCCGTGAATCTGCTACCCCTCAGCAGTACCCAAATCCTGTTGTTCCCTGAACACCCACACTGCCTGCTTGTCTCTCCTTATCTGCCTACTTACCTGTTCTTTAAATGCCCAGAGACTACTCCACCCCTGACAATACACGCACGCACACGTACACACACACGTCTTTGCATAGGTAAAGGCTCCTTAGTGCTCCACCAAGACTCATCTCAGTAGTCACTTTCTCTGGCACCCCTGTCACTCTCCCAAAGAGAAAACCTCAAATGGGGCTTCTTGAAGTGGTGTGGCCTTCTGGTTCACCACAAGCCATTCATCCTGCACCATGATTGTCTGAGAAAGGACCGTGTCTTAAACCTAATGTTCAGAATGTCTGTAGAATTAAAGCAAATATAGCTTAGCAGAGAACATTTTGATTGACAATAGAAATTCCCGTAGATCTATTTGCCAGTGCTCCTTCTGTGGGGAACTGGCACCGTCACCACCATCCAGTTACTCAAGCCAGAGACTGGCCTATCCACCATCCAATCTGTCACAAACTTCTCCCCACTTTACTTTCTACTTTGTAGTCTTGGGGCTTCTCATCTCTCACCTGAACTATCTCAGGGACTCCCACCTGGTCTTTGGACTGGAAATCCACCTTCATTGCACTGATCTCGCTGATCTCACTGAAACAAAGGCCTGGCTGGTCACATCACTCTATTGCTTAACACCACCCATAGCTGGAGCAGGCCTTCCCATCTGGCTCCTTAGCCCACCAGGGAGCCATGTGGAGAACGTGTGATGGGGATGTTGGCACCTCCTCCACTCTCGAGGCAGTTGGACAGGACCTAGAACTTCCCCAGATGTGACATCTAGCTGCAAGCAGCTCTGTCTATTTACCCCAGTACCTAGACAGATGCAACCTAGTCATGTGACATGATTAGAAGCCAAGACCCAGGCCTTCTAGCACCCCACTCCCATTTCCCAGCCACATCTCATGCACACAAGCTTCACCCTTGCCCTTCGGCCTGCAGCTTTGATGGTGCAGCCCCAGATACGCAGCTGCTTGCTACCAGATTTGCTCTCCCACTACCCGAAACACCTTCCTACTTTTCAAGATTCTATAAATATAAATTTCCCATCTTTTTCCACCAGATTGACCTTTTCCAAGCTAGCTTGCTCAAATTAATCTGAAAGGGAACCACAATCAAAATGGATCTGATGCATGTTCATGTCATTCAACTGATTTAAATAAACCCAGTGTAGCAACATGACTCTAAAGCCAGAAAGAACCCCTTTAAGAAATGAATGTCCAGGTTCTTAGCATCAGAATAATCATCAGCATTTGCTCCTTTTCCCTACTGATTCCTTCTGGCCCACTTGAAACTTGTCATTTTTCAGAATTAAAATCTCAAGTTTTGCAAAGGCCTGTACTCCAGGATGTAGAATCAGAGATTATTTTTGCTTGCTCCTGAGAGTTATGTTTGGAGGAGATCGCTAATTAAAATATCTTGGCGCCTGTCCCTGAAGGCAGTCTCCTCCTCCCACTCCAAGAGCTTTCCAGCTCATGTCCTTGTTACTTGTCAGATCCAGATGAATATGAGTGACAAAGAGTGGCAAAGTAAGGGAAATGCAGCCAGGCTCAAACTGAACAAATCCACGAACAGCAGTTGCCACCATGAGATGCAGCATTTATCAGGTGTTATTGATTCAAGAAAAATTTATCGACTGCGTACCAGGTTACTTTTCTTAATTAGGTAATGTATGTATGGGTGTTTGCAACATTATTCTCTATGCCTTTTTGTATGTCTGAAATATTTCGTAACAAGGAAGAGTTCTCCAGTTGAAATGGTTTACCCATGTTTCAGTGAAAGCTGGGAGAAGAGTCAGCCTCCTGGGTCTTTCTCGCTCTTATTGAAAGATGCGCTTTTACCAGGACAGTCTGATGGTCAGGAAGCAGTCAATAAGTTGAGTGAGGCCTTTAACCTGAAGAGTTAGTGATTCTTAGTGTGCCACAGTTTTAACAAATAGTGCTCTTGTCAATGCCAGAGATATTTTTTCTTCACAGCTAAAAACGTTTAGGTCAGGACCCTCAAACATTCCTATTTACAGAGGGAGAGAGGAACCAACTTACTTTTACTGAGTATCAACTATGGGCAATTAGAATCATAACTATGCTTGTTCTTCATCAAGGGTGTTTGTTTCTCATCAAATTCAATATTCATAGAACATTTTTATTTCAAGTCATCTCACTCTGCAAGAGTTTTGAGAACCCATTGAAAACATCCCATGTAAATAAAACAGGACTGCTGTCATTGAAGCACTTGGTAAATCCTCATTGTCTCAATCATTAGACTAAGTCATTGCTCAGCTGTAGCCTATGGCCTAAAAAAGAATATGCAGACCAACTATTCAGCTGATTTCCTCGCCCTCTCCCATCAGACAGATGCCTGTTTGAATTAGTAGACCCAAATAACTCTGTCCTCTCTTTCTTCTTCAATTAGAAATGAGAAAAATGTACAGAGGTTAAGCTATTCCCTAAAGGAATGTCACACAAACTTGTAATCAAGTCACCCCCAGAATGATGGAACTGGCCTATGCAGAAAAGCTTTCATCATTCACCCACCCTGGCTGCCATGATTAAGTGTTGAGAAAGAGGCCAGTTAGCCTTATGGGAAGAGTTACAGCTTGGATGAATCATGAGCTGTAAATAACCATCCACATTCCCCTCTTCTGCATCATTTTCCTTATGCCACCAGAGGAGAACCTATGGTGAAGTGAAAAGGGATTTAAAGCTAATCTTAAGGAAACTGTTTTACAGAAGGTAGCAACCACCAGGGGACGTCAACTGTCATTCCCTGCCCCTCTTGTCAAGGCAGAGCAGGGAATCAATGAGAATATAAATAGGAAAGAGTTCGCAAGCCTTTCGTGCCTCCCATTACTGCCAAGGTCTCCTAGCCTGTTAGTGGCAGGGGCCTAGTTTTCCTGATTCTCAACCCTGATAACTATACTACATGGCCTCCTTGTTACAGATAAGCAAAAGTGAGACCCCCAAATGCTTAAATAACATGGACACGGTCACAAACCACACTTAGATCTCAAGGCACCTAAGTCAAAGCCTACTTTCCAAGGGCAGCACTGAAACAATGACATGACTACCTCAGGCTGCAGACACTAGGGTGATTAAGATCCAAACACAACAATTAAAAAAAAAAAAAGGCCCAGTACCCCAGCCAGTCACTATTATGTCCTGTACTTTATTCAGTTTACTCAAACAACTTGGGATTTTCCAGCAAAACAGGAAAAAACCCAAGTTAATACTTTAGCTGTCATGAATGTAAAAGAAACATAAACGTCTTTGACAAGCATTGGCAACATGCTGGGTTTTTGAAGATGTGAGTTTGCTTTTGTCTATTAATAATAGTCTTTATATATACTGTTGTAAGATACAAAAATTATAACTAAATAAAGCTGTTAAAATTTGATGAATCTGAAGTTGAAAAACTTATTCATAAAGTACAACACAGGACATCTTGAGAGAGAAAATACAGTGTTTTTTACATCTGAAGCCCTTTATTGACTACAATGCAGAACATTTTATTTTATGACACAGTGGGTTTTGTTATTGTTGACATTTTCACCAATTTTACTGAAGACAAAAGTCAAGACAATCAAATGGTAACTAGTAGTAGGCTATCAGTAAATGAGAGGAAGTATACAGATTGTTCTTTGGACTGATGTTAAATCAGTGGTCAATAAAGGTGCTTCCACTGTCAAATAATTATGACATATTAACAGTTGCCAAATACCATTGGATGGGACTCCTCTAGAAATAACTAAAGCCTTTCATTTTATATATGGAATAGCCACAAAATGTAGGTGGCTTACATCGACTCATTAGATTTGCCCATTTTAGATTGCTTTGAGATTCAGAGAAATCAAAATTTCTTCATATGTTAGGCAACAGTTTCTTCAAATACCTTCTCATGCTCAATAAAATTAACATGTCATCCAGGCACCCTTTAATCTCAACACATGACATATAAATGATCACATCCATCATACACACATAGATGATTAGAAGACTCAAGAAATATTCAAGGATGGCAAGAAATCACTTGATTCTTTGGTTATGCCCTAGTGACAAATATATATTTCTTGGCAACCAGCCAATCAATTTTGGAAATAATATTAGCCCATGACCTAATACATTCTAACAGCCTATGCCTCGTTTTTCATGCACCATTAGGGCGGTCACCAATCTCCTGCCATCTTTCCCAGGCATACGTTCCTTTCTTTGGAAACCTGAAATGCCCCTAGATAAATGTGCCCTTCCCCAGAGAAACACATTTCCCACTCAATTACAAATCCTGACTCAAAGCTAAAATTAATACAGGCAGGCAATTGAGGGTTCTTAGAAAACTTCCTTAAAAATGACAAATGTATGTGATGTTAACACTATCCAATGTATCTGCATGCCACCACATTAAATTAAAAACACCTGGTGTATTTATACAACATGTTCAATGGCTTACAGATTAGAATCCTAGAAACAATACATGTCTTATAGCAAAAAATATACATATAATAATTCCCCTATCATTTATATAAATGATGAAATGTTTTTGAATATATCTATATATATACACATATATACTCTGTGTGTGTGTGTGTGTGTGTGTGTGTGTGTGTGTGTGTGTTTACAGAATCAGGCACGCAAATACTGCAGTCCTTCATTGGCTCTTCCGCTTCAGTGTCAAAATCACCAGGTTTCAAAGTCTTAAGGATCGAAACAAAGGTCACCGCTGGGGACAAAGGACTGGTTTGATGCACCTGCCCTTGTGAAGGACCAAGTTTGCTGGACAGTGGCAACCAGCAACGCACGGCTTGTTGCAAGGACCAATTTCATTCCAGTTGTCACAGGTCTTGATACATCCTGGGCCACAGGTATCGTACACAGCACCATGCTTACACTGCGTGGCTGAAAAACAGAAGGAGACAAAGGCATGACATGGAGAAAGGCCCCATTAATTTACCCTCAGCCTGACGCCATTCCTGCAGGCTCATGTCACGGCGTAGACCTTTCCATAGCACAGGCGCAGATTTGCATTTTAGCAAGAGAATTACAAACATCCAACATTCCTCACACACTCTGGGAATCACCTACATCTATAAAAACAAACGTAGCTAGATCTGAATAAGAATTTATCTTATTCTGAGATAAGATAAACTATAAATGTGTAAGTCTACAGGAAAATCTTTAAGGCTATGTAGTTATTGTACAAATAACTAAATAGTATAAAACATGTGCTGCAAATAGTCCTCTCAGCTATTGAGCTGTGATGAATAGGAATATTTTTGTGCAACTACATTGATATTCAAATATATGAAATTACACACAAAGAAAAGACCTACCAAGGATAGTGAAAATGTGTGACATATTTTAATCAATGTGGTTGTGTGTTAAATCAATAAATTTAAGGCATGTTGGGGCAAGATTGGGACAAGCAAAATAGACAAAAGTCAGATGTGTGACTGCAGGGAGGACAGTGGCTGGCTGGGTCATATGACGTTGCCATGTCACAGCCAATTTACTGTCTTTATTGACTTAGAGGCAAAGTGATTTTGACAAAATCCTGAGAGATCCTGAAAATTCATGACTAGACTTGTCAGAAAAACATAATGCAAACATGCTGGAAGTTTTGTGACACACAGACTTTTCCATCTGAGTTATATCTAGTGACAGTTGAAGGGGCCACCCCTCATTTCTCAAGAATAGGAATGTTGACACAAGTAGCAATTTAGAGCAGGAACCCTCCAAGAACACCAGTAACAATTCAATCTTCATTTAAAGTTGCTTTGAACAAAAGTAACAACAATGGAAGACATTCTCAGCTTAAACACCTCTGTTGGTTACGCTGTTTGCAGAATAATACCTGGTGAGGAATCGCGAAATTGTAAAATTTAAAGGTAGAACTGGTTTGCCAGCAAATGGGCCTCACTTTGAGTCTTTCAAGTTATGCAATTAGAGTTGCCACAAAATGTTGGTGTTTGGTCATATTTAACTAACAAAGTTAATGAGCACCATAAAATAAATCCTATGAAGGCTTCTCAAATATCCATTACACTGGTTAAAAACAAATGAGAGGGCACATTCTATCCAAACAGTAATCAGTGACCTTTTATCGCCTCTTACTTACTATTCAAAACCCGAGTTGTATAAAACATAACATTTAAATAAAATGGACTTTACTTGACCCTATAATCAACATTTTTCTGTATAGACTCATATTAAGCACTGCCATATTATTTATTTATCCCTGCTCCAACTGTTAATGAAACCATTGACTCTTGGTAAACACCTGCTCTGAACAAAGCCCCTATACAAGATGCTTTGGGGATAGAGGTAAATGACATGGCTGCTGTCTGATACACCAGTACAGGGATGAGTTAGTACCAGCTCATTACCAGCCAATGATATTGAAACGCCCCACGTAACCTATGCCTTATTGATTCCTGTGCCTGGCTTGCTCTCAGCTTTCTGAGGTGTCTTTTCAAAGGTAACTTCCTATTCAAAATAGCATTTTCATATTCCCTACCTCTTTCCCTATTTATGTCTTCTTTACACATACCACTACCTGACATTGTATCATATTTACTCTGTCTTCCAACACTACAATGTAAGCTCCCTGAGGGTGGAGATTTTGTCTGGTCCCTCACTTTATCATTAGCACACACATTTTCTGGAACATGGCGAGCATTAGATATGGAAGCCAGCAATAAATATTTGCTCAATAAAGCTGTTATGAAACAGACATAACCACAACAGAGAGGGGATTGGAATTTTCCATTTGCACCTCAGGATCTGTCCTCTACCCCTCTGTGATCTGTGCCCTTGCTCTTTTCTACAGATGACATCAATGGGCTCCCTTGTGAATGGTGGACTCCAGTGCCTTGATCTGGTGCCATTATCTAGCTTGATGAATGTCACCACCATTCACGCCGCCGTCTACTCTTCTCAACTGAGTTTCCAACCTTTTCAACTGAATTCCCACCTCTTCTGTGTGGATGAGATGGATGTTCCTTGACTGATACGCAGAGCACCTGCTGCTTATCCCATCACTGTATTTATAACATGAGATTGTAGTCACCAGTTTCATCCTCTCATACTCCTCTCTCTCTACACACACACCAACTAAAATATAGGCTACTAGAGGGGAATGCTGCCCTGTTTATTTACTTTTCTGCAGGGGTATGGTGTTTAACATTTAGTAGATACACAGGGGACTATTGAGAGATTGAGTGAACGGATACGTGGATAAGTGAGTGGGTAGATGGACATAACCCCTCCTTAAAGTCTCTCAATTTAGGCTTCTCTGGTAATCTTTTGTCTTTTCACAGATCCCTTCAAAGTCCTCTTCTTTTCTCTTCTCAGTGACTAACAGAATACCCTATACATATACATCCAAGCTGAGTATCATATTTACACACAGTAATTGTATTCATGTGTTGTTATGCTTTGGTAGACTAATGGTGGTCACAACTAGAAGTTAGAATCACCTGGGAAACTGCCTAATGCCCAGACTTCAATCCAGATCAATTGCATTAGAACCCCTGAAGGTGGGATCAGGATATCAGTAAGAAAACAAAACAAAACACTTCCTTTTCCTTCCGACCCTGCCCCACACTGGTGATTCTAATGAGTGGCTGAGATTGACATTTGATCCTGCAAACAAACCCTACATTTATGCTTCACTCAGAGACTCATTCCTTTTTAGCAACCGAGAAGAAAACTATTTCCAAAGTAGAATTAGGTCCTACTATTTCCCATCCTCTTCTCCCTCAAGCCCTACTGGGGTACTTCCCCATCCCAGAGCCCTCACCCTCTTTTGGCGTTGGATTTAGGTCATCTGCAGGAGCACCCTAAACTCACCCCTCACTGCCTCTTCTCATGTGCACCCATCCTGGATTTGCCATTCTTCTTTTCTGCCCCATCTTTCAGAACTTGCCCTGCTCTTTGTCTCCTAGCACAGTAATCTTCTCCCTGTCTAACAACAACAACAAAAATATTCCCTAATCCATCAGATTTATTTTCTTTTTCCTTTCACCTCCAAACATTGTGGAAGAATTTACAGTCTTGTTAGCCTAGTTGCCTGCAATTAATTAACGTTGACAGCTCATCTTCCTCACCCACCCCTTGGTCGAAGCAGTTCCCTCCAAAGTTTTCACTAATGTCCATATCCACTGACATCTTGGCAACTCCCATTTTCCCAGGACAACTCTGCAAAATATTTGGTCTTTGTGTCCATTTTATCTTATGACACGGAACTCTCTTGGTTCTTCTGTTGACTCCTGGAGAAGACCGTCTCTCTTGAGTTTCTTTGCCTACTTCCTAGCATTAAATGTTCACATTACCTCCTGGAATCTCCCCGACACTGTTTTCTCTTCGATCTCTGTCTTCCTTAATTACTACAGTTTTATCTCTTTCTTCCAGTTAGAGACCTCTGAAATCTGTTACCATTAGTTCTGACTCTTTTTCCAGTCTATCAGTTTTATTACAATGCAGATGTCCCCTCCTTCAAAGAGTTTCTGGATATTCCCCCAAGTTGCCTTCTCTCTGCAACCCATAGTACTTTTCATGATAATAGTTATTGGCTTATTTGCTTTAATTCCCCAATTATAGTACAGCTATAGTTCTTAGTCAGAGATACTCATAAGAGTCCCCTGAGGTGCTTTGAAAAAATATTTATTTCTCAGCTTATCCCTAAAGGTTTTTGCTCTGAGTCTGCAGTAGCTATTGATTTTAAAGCTTCTGGGGGTCACTGTGACATCTGTGTAGTTATTGATTTTAAAGGTTCTGGGGGTCACTGTGACAATCACCCGCAGTTGAAGAGAGCATATCACTGAGGCCTGGGCTCCTGAGGGCAGGATTCTTGTCTTCTGTAACCAAAGGTTCTGACACAGGGACAGGCACCGGGGAGCAGCTCAATGCATGCCTCCTGGATGAGGATTTCATATTAATGGCATTCAATCCATCATTCCTTTTTCCAGTGTGGATTTCATTTGGGCAGTCTTGAGTTCATTCTCCACTCCGCTGCTTCCAGAATGCATCTTTCAACTCACCTTACCCTATAGAGGCTTTGCTGCCCTTTGAGTCTTGCAAGGATTCCTCGTAGTATAAAAACTTCTCAATAGCATTTCTTCTTTCCCATCACATTCTTTGTGTTTCCCTGACTATCCTCTCGCTATGAACTCTCCCATGTCTTCTCCTCTCTCTGACCTCTCAATTCTGTCTTCTAGTTCTACCTTTCAACTTCTTCTGAGGCATTTTACATTTTGATTTTTAAAGACTGATATGTCCCTCACAGTCTACAAGCCAAAAGTAGACTGCAGAAAATGAAAACTACTAGAGAAAAAAAAAAAAAGATTTTTCTCTCTTGTATTATCCTTCCTCATCTCCAATTCAATTCAGATTAAATCAATAAACATCCACGGAGTATCTATGTGCCAGGCTTTCTCTTAAGCCTGGGGAATAAAATGTGATCAGTTATCATCTCTGTCCTCCAGTTATAGAAGGTTGGGCTTATAACCAAATAGGTAAAGCTGATGTATAAATAGATTCTTAATAAAATATAAGATGTGTCACATCAGACAATGAGAACAAAGTACAGGAGAAGAGTTAAGAGAGAAAGACATTAGCTCAGTGCTGAGAGTTGGGTAGAGATCAAGGAAAACTTCAGAGAATGGATCCTGTGTATCAAGTGAGCAAACTTGTCAGACAGACAATGACAGGAAGAGCTTCTCAGATACATGGAACAGCAGAAACAAAGGTGGGGGTGCAGGCAGCAGCAAGGTACTGTGGCTTAATCAGAGAAGGGTGGATCCTTGGTTTAGGGGGTTAGAAGCATGGACCTTGAGGAGGGTGAGCAGTAGGAGATAGAGGCAGAGAAGTAAGCAGGGGTCAGAGAACACAAATGACCCCACAAGCCTTGGCAAACGGAAGCCTTGGAATGTTTTAAGCTGTGGAGTGACATCATCAGATTTGCCTTTAATTCAGCACAACGTTTAGATGATCCTAGAACACTAACACTAACCTGAACCCTCATTTACCCTCTGTGAATTCAGTCGTTTTTTCAAACTTATAAAAGGCGTACGATCATTTCTTACAACATAGGCGTAATTTGATTTGCACACATGCATTTTAAAGGATTTATTTGGCTAAACAGTATAACAACAACAACAACAGGGATCTGCCAAAGTGGTGAGAGTTAGAGTGCATTTATTCTCCGAGGGGCATTCAAACAGCCATAGGTGAAACATAAAAACATTATGTGCTGGCTTTACCAATACATTCAAGCAGCATGGCTCTGTGACTTCCGGAACTCAACCCTCTCTGCATCCCCCTACAGGCTGCTGAAGGTCACAGTATCTGACTTTATCTCTTGAACTTTTACAGGAGGCATCCAATCAGTCAAGAAAAATCTCAGTGTATATAAGTAGGGCAGAGTTGCTGCAGGGAAGGAGCTAGAACCATCTGGGGTTTATAGAATCAAATAAAGAAGGAGAAAACTGTTCACAAGCCCAGCAGACCATCCACTGTGCCGCAGAAAGACACAAACACCCACGTTTCCAGCACCTTTTCCATGTATAAAATGTATTATGGAATGTGCAGTGACAATTAGTATCAGTAATAAGCAGGTGGCAGACATTCTGCTAAGGACAACAATGTAAGAGACAGCAGACAAGATCACAACAAATTTAGAGTCAGAAGGTACCAAGTAACAACCACCAGTGATAGGGGACAAACAAACAGAAATTGCAAAGTCACCAAGGTGACTAAGATTTAGCTACATGTTTGGATGAATTAGTTGACACTAATATAAGCACATAAATATGCATTGTTTTTTTCCCACCATGCTCTTGGGTCTTTGTGTTATCGTAATGATTAATAAAATGTGATCAGATATCATCTCTGTCCTTAATCATAATGATTAAGGATGGGGCAACTATGCAAGCTGAACTGGGTCCAACTCCCAGCTCCTCACTTCCTAGCTCTGTGAATTTCAGCAAATTACTGAACTATTTTAAGTCTCAATGTCCTTATCAGTAAAATGCGAGTAATATAATATTACCATATAAAGTATTATTGGAATTATTAAGATAAAATATAATGTGAAATGCTAGTATAGTCCTTGGGCAAAAGGACGTTTAAAAAGGGTGTATAGTAATAGAAATGGTTATTATTAAACTTTTACATACTTTCACTATAGCTCTTAGCATATTACATTTTATTTAGTAATTCGCATGCTAAATTAGTTCTTCATGCTATAGGTAGTGGAGGTATATTGTGTCTGTAGTCATAACAGTGTTTAAAATCCAGGTTAGACTTTAAAATGTCACTAGTTCATTATGAGTTTCTTGCCTGACTGACTTCTTATATGTTCAACTTCCTAACTTTTTCTCTGGAAGATTTCTCTTCTTTGTCTTATGTGGCCTTAGGTGCTGTCATGAGTCAAAGGACCTGGGAGCTGAAAACAAGTAAAGAGGACTCTTATAGTCTTCAATATTCTAGATGAATCTGAACCGAATCTACTGAGAGATGCTACAGATCTCTGTAAATTTATTTCTTCATGTACCAACTGTCAGTCTCTGGAAGTCCGTAAAGTGTGTGTATGTGTGTGTGTGTGTGTGTGTGTGTGTGTGTGTGTGTGAGAGAGAGAGAGAGAGAGAGAGAGAGAGAGAGAGAGAGAGAGTATGTCTAAAACGTTCCCCTCCCACTGAACTTCATTCAACGGAGTTATACTTCACCCAGATGGCTAAACTAAGAAGAAGTAAATGGAATCTTTCAGGAGCCATATTTCTTTTCCATTAGAAAAGTAATTTCAGCTCCAGAGACTCAGTTTCTGAAATCAAGATGCTGACTTGAAATGTGTAGTCCTCAGATGCAATGTGTGCACTGAAATGGTGCTAAGTATAGCTCTGGGCCAGGCAGAAAAGGCTCATATATCCTATATCTACACAATCACAACCATAGCACTACCACAGCTAATAAAATTAATAGAATCCTGCTGAGCGCTGCATTATACCAGGATAGACGGCTGCATGGGTGCTTGACTTCATTTATTTATTCATTTTCTGGTAGATTCAAGGAATGGGGGATTCAAAATAAAGGGTGCTAGGAGCCTTCAAGATGGCTGGAAGGACCCAGTTCCTCAAAAACCTTACCCTTGCATATTCTACCCAGCACTGATGCGTCAGGTTACAGGTCGGCCATTTGCCTCACCTTTCAGCAGCCTCAGCCACACTGTAAGTGAATTATGTTTATTAAATTAATACCTCTCTGAGAAGGGCAGCATTGATAGAACAGCTCACTTGCTATGGAAAGGTGAACTCTGATATAAAGATTGGACTTGGGTTTGCAGAGGAGGGGGCGCAGCCAAAACAGAAGGCAGAGGAAAGTGAAAGGGCTTTGGTGCTTTTTGAAAAACACAGACTAGTGGCTGAACCAAGGGGCAGCTGAGGAAGCTTCAGCAACCCCCAAATATCCACCATCCTATGTTCCCGAAGCAACCCAAGTAAACACACAAACTAACTCAGGAGTTTCAACACTGGTTGCAGGTCAGAATCGCCTGGGGTGTTTTAACAGGTACACAAGGTCAATTGAAGCAAGAGGTCACGGCATAGGGCACAGGCTTAGGTTCCCCGGTTTATTTTTTAAGCTCCCAGGGTGATTCCAATGTCCAGCTAGGTTATGACTCACAGGTCTCAGTGAATGTGATATCTGTACACTGCAATCACAGCTTCAAGGCAATTCTTCTTGACCCTTCTTTTAACCAGATGACCACTCTTATCTTCAGCCAATGTAGACATTGTGGAGCCAGCAATGGCATGAATGGCCTTCTTTTCTGAGATGTGAGCTAAAGCTACTAGGACTAGGATAGTATGCTGAAAATCCCAGTCTCTTTATTTCAGGCAAATCCAGCCCTTTAAAGATAAAAATTTGCCAGTCCTTGAACTAAATGACAACTATTCAGCCATTTCTCCTTCAAATTTCGATTGAGCATCTTCTATGAGTTGGATACTCTTTGAGATGCTTCACCCACATATCACTAACGTTTGTAACTATATACCAGGTTATTATTGTAAAATTGCAAATTTCCAAAATCTAGTCTCTCTCCCCTCTTCTCCAAAAGCACAGCCAGTGTCTTATTCCAAGCCGCCATCAGCTTTTCATCAGGACTATCACAATAGCCTCCTGTCTAGTACCCTGGTTTCAATCTTGTCCCCTTCCAATCTATTCTCTATCTAGCATCCAGGGTCATCTTTGAGAAGCAGAAAGAGGCTAGCTTAAAAGCTATCAGAGGCTTCCACTTCTCTTGGAATAAAAGCTAGACTCCTTTCCAAGCCCCGCCAAGTCCTGCGTGGTTCAGCTCCTGCTCCTGCCCTACCTTCCTCTTGCGCCCCTCTTCCCCTTGCCCACCAGGCTCAAACCACACTGACTCCTCTCCACTTTGAGAGCATGCTAATAATTTTTCTCCTGCCTTATGCCATCAAACATGTTTCTTCTGCCATCAAACATGTTTCTTCTGCATAGAATGCTTGCCCTCCCTTCACTTCTTCAGGGCTAGGCTGAAATAGCACCTGCACAGAGAAGCTTCCCTCTTCAGCCCATCTCAGCCCTCTCCAATTGTTTTGTTATCACTCTACCCTGTTTGTTTCCTTCCTTATACTTACCATCATTTGCAAATATTTATTGTAGAGTTATGTTTCTCTCTGTTTCTCCCACTAGGCTGCCAGTGCATCAACAACCAGGGCTTCATCTCTTATATTCATAAAAGTACCCACAGTGTCAGAACAATGCCCGGTACCTAGCCATTTTGTAGCAAATATTTCTTGGATGAATAAAGGAATCCATTTTACAGATATCAAATAAGCTAATTAACTTGCCTGAGGCGAAAGAGCTATTAAAAACTATTATAGGAATCTCTCAGAGGGAAAAAAAGAAAAACATGCTACTAGGCTTTGTATAACAATCTCTTTAAAAAAACTATCATGTTTATCCTGAAGACCTTAAATGACTGTAATTGTCCCAAATCTCCTTTGCTTCACACATAACCTAAGCCACAGCTATGACCGTCCATGAGCTAAGTATATCCAGCTGGTAGTTTGAGGTCGAGAGGATTTTGCAACAGTGGAAATCCTTAAATTGCTTAAATATGCTTGTCATAAAGCATTTATCTTAAGTGCTGTCTACGTTGCCCAGTGGGAAGCCCCTGTGTTTTATCAAGTTGAAATCTAGCTGGGCTACCAATGGGATTTTCCTTTGGCAAGGGGGCAAGCAGCCATTCACATCAGCATCCACAAGTTTCCTCCATTGCCATCTTGGGCATTGCAATAAACTTCTGATGGGTGGATCCACCAGGACTTTCTTACCTGCACAATTCTTCTGAGGCTCCCAGTGGACTTTGATGCCCTCTCTCTGGCAGGCCCGGGTATATGCCAGGAATGACTCGCAGTAACAGTTTTTATGGACTGGACATTCACACATGTCTGTCACACAGGACCTATAGGACCCAATAGAGAGATATAAACATTTTAAAATATCAGACCATAAACAATCTAAATGTAACTTCAGAAAAGGCTATAGATGGGGAAACCTGATTGGCTTATTAAAATTTGTTATTTTAGGTTAGAAACCTAAATTGGCAAAATTCTGCATGAAACTTAACTACTGGATACCTCTGAACAATGTGATACTAGATTTCCTTTCTTCTAGAGCAAGATTATCCAATAGAACTTGCTGTAAGGATAGACACGTTCTGTCATCTCCACTGTGAAAAGCCACTGTCCATATTTGACTACTGAGCGCCTGGAATGTGGCTACCAAAACTAAGAAACCAAGTTTCTAATTTGCTTTAATTTTAATTAACTTAGATGTAAATAGCCCCACGGGCCTAATGGCTACCCCACTGGAATACCATTGCCATCTTGTGATGAACACTGACATAAAACTAATAGATTTTACTGCAATGTTTCCAAAAATGGTGACCAATTTGATGAAAACACAAAATCCCATAGCTTTCTGAAGACAGACAATTAGAATTCACTTCTATAATATCTTAGAATCTTAGTCTTTTAAAGAACACTGAATCTTCATTCTTTGGAATGTAAAGTGACAAATTCTAAATAAAGCAAACATTTCAGGGCTCTAATTAGACTGCACGATAAACGGGATTGAATCAAGGCCTCCACAGCTGAAATATGAAAACGATGGACCAGGACATAAATTGAATGGGAATGTGTGTAAATGCAAATTAACAAATTTGTAAACATGTTGACCACAAAGACATAATAATGGCCTCACATTAGTATGTAATATTAGTTTACAAAATGCTTTCACATCCAGCCTGTCACTGAATAGTAAACAAGGCATAATACAGCTTCTTGTTCTATTAATGAAGGGGTCATTTTACAAACAAATACATGGGCCCAAAGTCAGCACTTTGAAGTGGAAAAGAGTAAATTAAATTATATCTCTCAGCTTTGAAAGCAGTGTCCTTTTTATTATACCATACAACTCTCATCTTCTTCTTCCAGCAAATTTACTGCCTAACAGTTTCAAATTAACACTTATGCAAGAGGCTCCAATATTAATAAAATTAAACTATCCTTATATTTTTCATAACCTTGTTCAGCAAACTCCCTTCCTCACAGAAGCTATTTCAAGGCTTAACACAGAAAAAATAATATCCAAGAGTACAAGTTGCACTTATGATCTTGAAAAGTGATCATGACATTGCCATTGGATGTTAATAATGTCATTTTCCAAAGGTGTCGGACCTGTGTCAAACAGCAAAAACCATATTCAAGGAGCAATAGATCCACAGCGAACCCTCAAAGTTATTGCAGCCTAACACTCAAGGGCACAGCTTTGGGAAGTAGGAACTAACAGGAACAAAAGAAGAACAGATCTAAAGAGCCTCCTTCCATGTCATGGACTGAGAGATTATTTGATGAGTGATACCTAAGACACAATAACCAGGACAGAAAAAGTGATCTTTTTTTCTTTGTAGTAATAACAAAGTTTTGTTTGTTGTTTGTTTGTTTTGAGATGGACTTTTGCTCTTGTTGCCCAGGCTGGAGTGCCATGGCACAATCTTGGCTTACTGCAACCTCCACCTCCTGAGTTCAAGTAATTCTCTTGCCTCAGCCTTCCAAGTAGCTGGGATTATAGGAACCGACCACCATGCCTGGCTAATTTTTTGTATTTTTACTATAGACGGGGTTTCACCATGTTGGCCAGGTTGGTCTTGAACTCCTGACCTCAGATGATCCACCCACCTTGGCTTCCCAAAGTATGGGATTACAGGAGTGAGCCACTGCACCCGGCTCAAGGTTGTATTTCTTAATACCTTTTTCCACTTTTATTACAGAAATCCTGGGAAATCACCTTCACTAGCAAATGCATTCAGGCACTAAATACACAGTACTGTCTTTACACTGAGTAGAGCCTCTGGAATTCTAAAGAGAAGCCAAATAAAGCTTGTCCTTAAAATGGCGTCTAAACATCAATGAATGAATCCCGCTCAATGCCATTTCCCTTTGTTGTTTCAATTTTCATCTCAGAATAACCCACACCCATTGTATTCATGCTTAGACTTCACAGCAACGTTTTTGGCTGCCCCAGGTTCTAACCTCTAATGCCATTACTGCTTCACTTTCCCAGTAGAATTTGTTCCCCACCCTCTCTCCTGGCCCATGGGGGTGGGTCTTTTTCTATATACACAGCTCCCAATGCCAAGACATGGATGGAATGCCATCTCATGGGCCTAGTAAAATTATGGCACATATATGGGAAAAGGCTGGTCTCCGTGTGAGGAAATGTGTCCTTGGATTTGAACAAATGTCTATTGTATTTCTGTAAAATTCTGTGGACAATAAACAAATAAAATTTAATTTATTTGGGTAAGGGGATTGTTGTTGAATGTTTTCCTTCTTTTCTCTTGATTTCCACTTGCCTTATGAAGCTATTTACACAATTGAAGATATAGACAGCTAAATCCAATTCATCGAGGCTGTTGAGAGAGAATGTTTTAAGCACACATTTAATAATCACAGTATACACATACTTCCCTTCACCCACAGACAGACCCTTCTGTCTCCACAGACACAATCAATGATATGCCTTCACTGTAAAACTAAGGAAGATCTGAGCATTTTATATGATTAACCGCTCACTCAAGGGGAACAACAATGAGAGAAAAATTTTTGTCCAAGCCAGTACTTTACTTGAAAATGTTTTATATATTTTTAAAGGCTTGAAATATGTGTTTTGTCATGGAAGTTAAAAATTCAAGTGTTGTTTTTCACTTAGCAAGCTAATGATCTTTACACAAAATCATGAACAGAGCTTGTGAGAGAATGGAGAAGCAGCCAGCCCCCTGCTCCGCTGGCAGAGGTGTGAAACTGCCAGCTCTTATGCAGAGTGTTTTTCATGGACTGTCTCCTCCACTCCACGCAGCAATGGGATATGAGGCAGAGATTCCCACTGCTTCATTTAATAGATAGGGAAACTGAAGCTTGAAGAAGTTAACGTACTCAATTTCACATGGTTGATCATAGATCCAGAACTGCAAAACTAGGACTACACGTTGGTTTTTTCTAATCTCAGAACCCATATTCACAGTAACTATACATTAGATCTTTTTAGAAAGCAATTCAATTGAGTAATATTGATAAACAACCAAGAGAAGGTTCTTACTCTCCGATGAAAATTTTACACCTAAGGAAACAGTAATGCATGTGAACATAGGCTTCAAATCTAGGAATTTTCATCACAACGCTATTTACATTGAAAAAGAAAAAGGAAATAACTTGAATTGTCTATAATAAGGGCCCAGCTAAATAAATTCAGATGATTTCTATGATGAAACACCCTACAGCCATTACAACAATGTTTTGGAAACATATTTTTAAATATGAGAAAATGTTCAGGAAGGATTAACTGGGAAAAAAAAAAGGATAATAAAACTGTGTTTCAACATCATGTAATCACACAAGGAAAACAAGAATAACTGAGAACAGATACGACCAAATCCGCCAGACAGCCCAGGATGGTGGATTGTGCTTCTCTTTAATTTTCTTACCTGTATTTTCCACAGTGAATACATATCGCTTTTCTAAAAAGCTAACATCACAGTTTACTATTAAAACTACACAAAAGAATATCATGAAAGATATTAATATTTAAATCAGAATTTAGGAACGATAGTGGGAAAATAAAGAATGGGAGAAAATGAGAGTGTCTATTTGTAGGTCTTAATTATTCAACATTCCTCCAGCTAAAATCTTCCCATTCTGTGCCCTGTCAGCCTCCTGATAAAGACTTCAGCTGGATTCACTTTGCGTTGCCCTCACACTTGCATTTCATTGGCCTACTGATGGGTGGTGGAATAGATAATGGAATAATTATGCATGCTTCTGCTGCTTACAAATGTATTAAGAGAAAAATAAAAGCATCTTCAAATGCACTTCAAATTTTAGGGAGGGACAAAACTATTGTTATTCAACGATTCAATTTGTGTTTATCACACTTAATAATTCAGTGTGAGGAAAATCTAATTTGTGAACAGTGAAGTTTGAGTTTTTCTGTGTTTATGGAAGATTGTTGTCCTTTCCTTAATCAGTATGTACCTATAATCTACATTTATATTCATTTTATAGAATAAGTAGCAGAATTTTATCACTTCTGGGAGTGACTAGATTTATTGCTTTGGTGTCTCCAGTCTCATGACATTGTTCTGTCACAATTACGTTCTGTTTGATGGCGAGTTGGTCAGGAAACACAGCCGCCCACTGCTCCAGTGAGAAAACACAGGTCACATTACTCTGAGCTTTTCCAGGAAAGCTCTGCAGGTGAAGAGAGGCTGCCTGATTCTTTGGGTTTCTATTGTTACAAAATTGGCAAAATAACAAAGGAATCAGGCCAATGCAATTCCTTTAAAGCATACTGTCACAGGAGTTTCAAATTAATGTATCTAGAAATGGTTTCCTGATTCATCCGCCCCACTCCTGGCATCTTGCCTGGCAGCCAAGAGGTGCAGGCAGGACTCTTGCTCTGTATGGTTAACACAGCTGCTCAGTGCCACGACAAGGCAAGCGGAGTCCCAGAGCTGCTGCAGAGGCCCAGGGAGCTGGCAGCAGGCTGGGCAGCACTTTCTCACACACCCACTACCTCCTTTCTCTCAATGTTTGGTGTTTTTGTGTCATGTTTCGATGACTCCTTGAAGACATATTTTACCCTGTTCCTTATAGCACTCAGCACAATAGTGGGATTAGAACTGACCTGTGGTCAGTTCCCTCCATGAAATCCAACTAATCACGATTCAACTGCAGAGAAGACTTCAGAACTCTTTTCCCGCATCAAACTACAACTACTGCCTCCTGAAGACTCCACACCAGAAACCATTGGCCATGTGTGGTTATTTAAATTGGAATTTAAGTTAATTACCATTAAATAAAATTACAAGTTCAGTTTGTCAGTCCCATTGGCCACATTTCAAAT